AACACTTGTTACATTTCCCTTAGTGACGGCGTCTTCATGGTATGAAGTGTGTGGGGCTCTTTAAAGCTATCTGGGTTTCACTGGCCAAGATTCTGCGTCTGCTGAGGGTTGGGGGTGTGTATTTTCAAAAATTGTCATAGGATAGTCTTTTCAACAAATAGTGCTGGGAAAGCTGGGCATCCACATGCAAAGGCATGAAGCTGGGCCCTTAGCTAGCACCATATGCAAAAAATTAACTCAAAATGCATCGAAGACCTAAATGTAAGAGTGGAAACTCTTAGAAGAAAACACTGGGCAAAAGATCAGTGATTCTCTCTCATCAGTGATGTTTCTATCTCTCTTTCCCTCTCCCTCTCTAAAGTCAATAATAAAAATATATTTTTTAAAATGATACTAAAAATACTGTATTCTGTTAAATAGGCAAATTAAGAGTTGTATGCCATTTTGATGATGAGTTACATGGTCTTTATCCTGAAGCTTAATCAAATTAATTGTATTTTAAATTCTTGCTCATTAAAAAAATCGCATAAGCCCTGGCCAGTGTGTCTCAGTTGGTTGGAGTGTGGTCCTGTGCACTGAAGGGCCATGGGTTTGATTCCCAGTCAGGGCACATACCCAGGTTTCAGGTTCCATCCCCAGTCAGGATTCATGTGGGAGGCAACTGATCAATGTTTCTCTTTCTCTCTCTCTCCCTCTCCCATCCTCTCTCACTATAATCAATGAAAAACATGTCCTTGGGTGAGAATTTTAAAAAATGAAAATAAATAGATAGATAAAATTGAGTACTTGTAAATACTATTTTCTAGAGAAAAAGGATAATTCTGTTAGACCTAATGGTTCCTATTAAAACAGTTTTTTATTACAGGTAGGGTTTTATACACAAAGAAAAGAGTAAATATAGAAAAAAGGAACACATGCTGTTTTATGTCTGGTTTCAGTAGATTTGAAACGTCTTTCTTTTTATATGCAAATGTCTTTATTTCAAGTCAAGAGATCTAATTTTAAAGAATCACTTGTCAGCAGGCATCTGTGCATTTTATCACATGCAAATTTTATATACTAGTATTGCAGAGCATAATCAGCTTACAGAAATACAGTTTGGGTTTTGCTAATAGAGATAAAGCCTAAGTATATTTCATAAAATATATTTCAGAGTAGGCTTAGAATCTATTTTAAATGATCATAGCAATAGAAAATTCAGTTGCATCACTTACAGCAGGCTTGGGTAATGAAATTGACCATAATGCTGAAGCCTGCACATAAGCTTATTTCTTTCAGTTTTGAATACTTGCTTTATCAACACGAGGAAATGAACTCTTCCATATTTAAATGTTTAATATTGCATAAGTAAGAACTTTTTTTAGCAAATGAGTGGAGAGCTCTGAAAAAAATTATTCTTAGCTGATTGCAGAGGATAAAAAGCAAGCAACATGCATGGAGATGAAGGAAACCTCTACCTTTCGTGTAGCTAATTTGCTTATCACCTTTTTGTCAATGTTTTAGATTTACCTCCAGAAGCCAGTTGTAGCTATGGAAGTAGACCCCATTTCTGACATTAAATATTCTTAGAAATCTTATGGTGAATTGTTAAACAGGAACTACGGAGGGAGAAGTAATTGTAAATACTATTTGCAATTTTGGTATCCCTAACCAAAGCCATTTTGGTACCCCTTCTGTAATGATTTAGATGTTAGGGCAATAAGCTTTTCAAGCTGAAAGAAAATCTCAGAGATCAGTAGCCAAGCCTTACATTTTCTGTATGAAGAAACCAGTCCAGTGCAGCCAAGCTAACCAGTAGTTTGATTTAAGCTATTTAACTGCAGAACCAGGACCAGACTTCTCTTTGCAGATTCCCAATGGAAAATGTTCTCAGAATACTTTCTTTAGAGAAATTCTATTAGAAAAATATGACATTATGGGCACATTAAGTATGCAAAAACTCCAAAAGACTATTAAAGAAGTAATCAAATATAAGTTTTCATAAATTTGACTTAATATTGATATGCTAGTAAAAATGAATGATTTAATTATTTGGTTTTATTATTGATTTATTCATCTATTTTGCATTCTGATGAAGGCTTTAAACAGTTTTTTAAAATCTATATTATTATTGATTTCAGAGAGGAAGGGAGAGGGGCAGAGAGAGATAGAAACATCAGTGATGAGAGAGAATCATTGACCAGCTGTCTTCTGCACGCCCCCTATTGGTGATCTAGGCCACAACCCAGGCATGTGCCCTTGACTGGAATCAAACTGGAACCTCCTGGTTCATAGGTGACACTCAACCACTGAGCCACACTGGCTGGGCTGATAAAAGCTTTTTGAGACATATTTAGATGGTTCAGGTAGTTTTCATAAAGCTGTGAGGGGAATTTTATGTGTTGCCTTTTATTTACTCAGCTTAGCATAAGTTTTCCAAACCATACCTTCATTACTTAGGTTAGAATGTTTAAAAATAGCTATTGTGGTATCTACGGAATTGAAATTTTGAAGAATTTTTAGTTGCAAGCATTTAGACCTTGCTAATCAGTGTGTTCCATAAATCAACAGCATCAGAATCATAGGGGAATTTGTTAGAAATGCGGAATCTTGGCTTTCCCTTCCCCACACCTGGACCTACTGAGCCCAGATCTGTATGAACGAGATCCCAGGTGATTCTGATGCACATTAGAGTTTGAGAAACACTTAGAGCAGTGGCTCTCAACCTTGACTACACATTAGAATCACCTGGGAATCTTTTTAAAATCCTGATTTCTGGGCCTCATCCCCCGGAAATTCTGTTTCTTTGTTATGTGGTGGGGCCACAACATTAGTAACAAAGAAACAGAATTTCCGGGGGATGAGGCCCAGAAATCAGGATTTTAAAAAGATTCCCAGGTGATTCTAATGTGCAGCCAAGGTTGAGAATCACTGATCTGGCAGCTCTACATTCTTTTTCCTCTCCTGGCTACCCCCAGTCATTATTTACATTGGTCCCTGCTCCCAAAACCAAGGTTGTATAACTACATTGAGAAATGGAGTACAGGAGTTAATTGTATAGTGTTGAATTTACAGAGGATAAGCCACAAAGCATCAAAAGCAGGAACTGTCTGTTCCAGTTAAGGACAGACCAGCAAAGGATTTGTTGCTGGTTATATAACCTGGGAGTCACAGTGAATAACAGGCATTGTGAGGCAGAGGGGGAATGGTTGTGATGAAAAGCAAAGTAAAATGCCTAAATGCAGGGCTCCATATACAAAGACGACTCTGGTGAGTTTCTCTCCTGGTAATTGAGTGATTAAAAGTCTAGTGTAGTGATTAAGAGCTCAGACTCTGAGCTAACAATTTTCTTGGTTCAAATCCCAAATAATTTACTTCTTATCTCATGACTGTGGGCAAATTACTTAACCTTTCTAACCTCTTCATCTGAAAATATAAAAAAGAAAACAATAGAACATACCTCATAGGGTTATTGTAAAGAAAAAATGCGGAAATCTTTGTAAAACTACTTAGCACAGTGTCTGAAACAGTAAATACTCATTAAGTGTTAGGATGTTTTTATTTGTGTGTTTGTTCATTGATTCATTTATTAAGTAAGATTCTTCTCATCAGTTTCCCATGTGCACAATAGATTATTTTAGGTGGATTTTCTGGTATTTGATTATGGTCTGTGGCCATGGCAAAGAGCTGCAGCTTTAACCAAAGGAAATTCTCTACAGCTAGAGTGGGTGTCTGTTGATCACCTCTGAGATAATGAGTTCTATGCTGGGTGTGATAGTGGTGGTGGTGGTGGTAGGGAGTCTAATGAAAGAAAATGAGGAATATCATAAAGTCCATTGAGGCATTTGGATTCTGAGTTGCAGGAAATGAGATATACACGTACATGGAAGAAAATCTCAAAAGATGTTTCCAAAACAGCATGTTCATAAGTTGAAAATTATACCGTAGAAATTAGCGTGTTTGGAGTGCTTGAAAGACAACCACCAATATTGGTCATTAACACCTTTTATTTTCTTTGGTGTCTTCTACAAAGAAGGAAGAAAATGGGAGAGAAGAGATCTATTAGGCAAAACTGTAGTTTGACATGCACTAAATATTTATTCTAATCTTTTTTTTCAATACTTTCTAATATTGATTTAGAAGCTGACTAAGCACTAGAAGGCAGAATGTGAATGTGTTGATATTGATACAGTTAAAATAGATGCCAGCCTCACCCCTCACTGTGGCTATGTGAACAGAGTGCAGGCAAGAGGGCAAAGTGAGGAAGGGTGCTAATCAAATAGTGTTCTATAACTTCACCATCCCACTTTACATTGACCTCTTTTTAATATTTTTAAAGGACTTCAGGCTTTAGAAAAACTAGGAAAGGAGATGAAGTTGAGAAATGTTCAACCAAAGAGCTGTAAATCAGGTGAAACATGATAAAGCTTGATGTATTATCTATCTAGAGGAATTTAGGAAGGAAAGGTGGCTTAGAAAAATGGTTTAGAAATAGGCTTGTGGAAAACAGTGTTGGTTCCTTGTCCTCTATTCCCTAGGGTGCCTGCTGCTCTCTGCATGTCCAGAGCAGTTTTAGAAAGATGCTTCTGTCTTCAGGTCTGGAAGAGGTGGGCAAGGAAGGGACAGATTTGGGCTGGGGAGAGCGGAGAATGGGTAGAGTTGGTAGTGGAAAGGCTGGGCGGAAGGCGGGGGGGGGGGGGGGTAGATAAAAATACCATGGACTAAGACCATGACAGTAGGGTGAGAGAGTTTTCAAAGTCACTTGTGAAATTGTCTTATCATGGACATCTTTAAAATGGAGGGGGGGGGGGGGGGACAGAACACTTCAGGAATGAATACCCAAGGCCATCTCTAACTTAGAAACAAGTAAAAAATCAGCATCCATCGAGGGATGGTGAGACATCATGCGAGGATCACTCAGGGCCTGGCTGACACTTTGAGCCTGAGATCCCCTTCGGATGTTTGCTTCCCAGACTCTGGTCCTCCGTCTAACCTGACTTTCTCTTTGCTTCTTTCCACAGTGCCCGTGTATCCCAAGTCAGCAGCGTTTCGACAACAGGAGAGTAAGTTACTGGAATCGGGTGCTTCCCCGACTCGCCCCCCCCCCCCCAGCCCCCCGCCCCACTTACCTCTTATTAAACAGGAAAAAAGGAAATTCTAATGTTGGATAGTATTGGAAGATTAATACAATAAGCAAGCAAATGATTTTGAAAACTACACAGAGGAGCACTGAGTAACAAGTGTTCCTATTTGAGCTTCTGTGTGGATATGTGACTAGAGACAGCTCTACCATGACAACGTATGAGATTTATATTTATTTCAGTCTAAATAACGTCAAGTCAATATTTGCAAAGCGGTCAGTTTGCTTTGAGAGGTGTCTTGCAACAGAGGATGCCAGTAAAGGTTAAGATATTAACCATGCCTTTACTTCTTCCTTCGTTAATTTTAGTCAGCCTACATTTATTGCGGGCCTGCAGTATGCCAAGTACAGTGTTAGGTGTGTAATGTCAAATGAACCCTGGGCTCAGCCTCCTAGGGACATAGAAAATAAAGCAAACTAGTGAAAACACGTCCTTTTCCACAGGACAGCAGCAGTGCCCTGTTAATTTTGCCCACCGCATGTCTTTTTCCTCCTAAGGCTACCAATTGCATTTAACTGAAATCTAAACTCCTGTTATCTGCCCTTGCCTACATGTCCAGCTACATTGTTCATTATGCTTCAAACACATGACCTTCTGTTTCTGGAATGGACCAAGCATATAGCTGCCTTAGAGCCCTTGCACTGGCTGTTCCTCAGCTTGGCCATGCACTTCTTATCATTCACCTCTTTGTTCAAATGTCACCTTATTTAAGAAGTCATCCCTGACTACCCATAGTCACTCTCCAACCCTGTCCTCTATTGTAGAAGACTCATCACTATTTGAAATTTCATGATCTATTTATTATCTGTATTACCTCATAGATAGATAGAATATATATATATATATATATATATATATATATATATATATATATATTCTGTCATATTCGTGGCTGTATTCCTAACACCTAGAAAGATGCCTGGCATATGTTAATCACTAAATATTTGTAAATAGTCCCTTGCCCAAAGATTTTCCATTGCACCCACCTCTTTCTTCCTTGCTGGCACATGGGTGGGCCTTTTTGGAGCATCTTCCATCAGCAGGGATCAGGTGGAGGAAGATGTGATATGATAAGGAGGGAGAGAGAAGAATTAGAAGTATTAATTGGTATGAATTTAGATTTAATAGGATGAATTTGGATTTTTTTTCTTTTTGTTAGGTAAGAGAGCAATTAAATCAAAGGGCAGGATTAACCTCTCTTACCTTTGTGAAGTCTAAAGAGATTCCAGAATTATCCTAAAATTGACATTTTCTTGCTTTTTTTGTTTCCTGATAACCTTTATTTTTTTGTATGTCTTGTATAGTTTGGAAAGGTGTGGGGTTGGTCTATATGTATATTCAGGGTGTCCCAAAAAATTGTATATACACTTTAACAGCTGATCACTCAATTTTGAAAATGAAATGTATTTTGATAAACACTACCTTTATAATTATTCAAAGTGTGTGTATTCATTTTTCTGGGACACCCTATATTAATGTACTCACATTCCTATGTACTGCTATTAGGTAATCTTGAATCATTGAGAAGTGGAGTTCTAAATATAAAAATTCTGATGCCCAAGTTAGACTATACTTGCTCATTGTCTTCAAATAGTATTAAAGAAATTTCTATGAGACTATTATAAAATTACTAGAGGCCAGGTGCACGAAATCTGTGCACTAAGGGTTAGTCCCTCAGCCCATCCTGCACCCTCTCCAATCCAGGGACCCCTTGGGGGAAATCTGACTGCCGGTTTAGGCCCGATCCCACAGGCAGTCAGACATCCTTCTCACAATCTAGGACTGCTGGCTCCCAACCGCTCACCTGCCTGCCTGCCTGCCTGATTGCCCCTAACCGCTTCTGCCTGCCAGCCTGATCACCCCCTAACCCCTCCCCTGCTGGCCTGGTCGCCCCCAACTGCCCTCCCCTGCTGGCCTGATTGCCCACAACTGCCCTCCCCTGCAGGCCATCTTGTGCCCACATGTGGGCAGACATCTTGTGCAAGGGTGTGATGGTCAATTTGCATATTACCTCTTTATTATATAGGATACTTGGAAAATCTAAAATTCTTAAAATCCATTTTATTAGAATGAATGTAAAGTTTTCAAAATCCATTAGAATGAATGTATGTCTCAATCTGAACATTCAAAATATATACATATGGTTCTTTTTAAAAATTTTAACAGCTTTATTGAGGTATCATTGATATCCAAACTACACATGTGTAATGTGTACAGTTTGATGAGTTTGGATGTGATTCTTTTTTCAGGTGAAGAAAAACATGTTTTGAGGAGCATAAGTTTAGATTAATGTCAGCTTACTCAGAATTAGTGTGATGAAAAGTTTAGACACATTCAAAGATTATGTAGCTTTAAAAATGATACCTTATCTTATCATGAGGTCTTTTCAGCCCCTGGGCTTCACTATTTTTCTCAGGTTGAACAAAAGAAATCTATTCGATCTTCAGTTATACTGGGGTGTTTGTATGAATACAGCTTCAATTATATACATCATAATTGATTAGAGATTCAGACAGATTTCGCTGTTCTGTTATGAGTAATAATTGTCATGGTGAGATATTCTTTTTTTGATAGCATTGCTCCCTATATAATTTTATCTTAAAGGAATTTCAAATAAATAATAGACATAAAATTATTTGTGCCAGTTTTGTTTTGTAAATCATATTCTCCTCCTCTGCAAAACTGGTATGAAATCTGGAAGAAACTCACCTGTGTAAGAATAGGTCCATTATTATTCTATGAGGAAAAAAGTCTTTCCTCATTCTGTCTTATATTAAATGACCCTTATTTCCTGAATGCCTCTGTTGCTAGACTTGCTGTGAGCATTTCAGGAATCCTGGACTCATAAAAAGGAGAGACACAGTTATCAAATTGATGGCATTTGGTCAGTTTAGTTTTTAACTCACAATGCAAATATTCATGGGATGAATGCCTCAAACACTGTTGTTGCTCATGAACTTGTAGTAGCTCTTCCATTGGAATACCAGTATTTTCATATTTATGGGCACATATTTTTTTAAATATGTTTTTATTGATTTAAGAGAGGAAGGGATCAGGAGAGAGAGATAGAAACATCAATGATGAGAGAGAATCATTGATCGGCTGCCTCCTGCACGCCCCACACCAGGGATGGAGCCTGAAACCCGGGCATGTGCCCTGACTGGGAATCAAACCATAACCTCCTGGCTCATGGGTCCAGACTCAGCCACTGAGCCATGCCACACCAGCCGGGCTGGGCACATATTTTTAAAGGCAACTATTGATAAACTTGATTGCTTGAATCACTCTGTATTCTTATTTTTTTTCTTTTCTTTCTTTCTTTTTTTTTACCAGACTCTTAGAAAGAACTATCCGGTCAGCTGTGGAGCAGCATCTTTTTGATGTTAGTAGCTCTGGAGGACAAAGCTCAGAGGACTCAGAATCTGGAACATCCCTAGCCCCTTCCACCGCATCCGCCAGGCAGCGCCGCCGCCAGTCCAAGGAGCAGGATGAGGTTCGACACGGCAGAGACATGTGAGTTGGCATTGCTGATTCTTGTTTGTGTTTTCTGTTCTTTTAAAAATAAACACCTGAATTAGTCGCTGTGTCATAGTCATTCCCATTTCAGTATTTACGTTAAAACTTTAAGAAGTTTTTGTTTTGACCCTTCTAAACTTAGCTAACATTTGGGAATTTAGAGGTGGTTGAATAAACATTTCAGTGTAGTCTCCATGTTTGATATGTTGTAGGAAGCCACCTCTATCTAATACATTTCATGGTTTCCTTGCAAATATCTTATTTTAAGGGATTCTGAAGAATTGGAGGAGTAAATTGCTATTTGCCTGTCCAAATGTGGTGTTTTCTTGTTAGATGTTCAGTTAGCTGCTAGATTACCTTATGAACCAACAATTTTTTCTACTATGTTGACCTAATTACATACTAGAATATCTTTCTCGTACTCTGACAGTTGATTATGTTTTAGTATAAGGTTGAGCATAAGTCTAATCAAAAGTGGAAATACTTGAAGTTTTTATTATTATAATGACTAATTTTAAGGCATTCCCACATCATGAATTTCAAGAATAGTATTACAAGGAACTTTATTCTCCATTAATAGGTTTGATAAATACCAATGAACAATCATTGAATAATCATGATTTAAATTGTCAAATAAAATAAATTTGCATATAACTGACTATATTGATATATTTTCCCAAAAGGTTTAATATTTTTATGTACTATAGCACTTGGGCTCTATAAAATTATGTTTTGAACCCATTATTAAATGTCCAAGACTAAACTAAACCCTAGTTCCCATCATTCTTTCTTACCTGGACTCATAAGTTCCATCAAAATATTCATTAATAAAAGAAAAAAAAATTTTTTTACTTAAAGAAAGACACAGAAGATAAATAGTATAAGTAAATCCCATGCTCCACATCACTTAAAGGCTATATTAACAACTGTAATTTGAGAATAAAATAGTGTCAGAGGTGTAACCCACTGACTTTCCAGGTGACATAAGCAGCACTTATTTTCCATTTTTATTGAGTAATAACTGACATGCATGACTATATAAGCATAAAGCATGATGGTTTGATTTATATATATTGTGAAATAATACCACAGAAATTTTAGCTAATCACTTTTTTTAAAAAAGCCTTTATTCGAGCTTATGGAAAGGAGGGGGTACTGTAATATTCCCTTTAGAGAATAGAAAAATTATGATACCGGAGATACTTGCATTTAAAGTTAGCTACTGACTAAGCTCTATAGGAAGTGTTTAGGAATATGATCAGTTTGTGAACTGCTTATGTTGTGTTATACAGCAAGTAGGAGTTATTCATTTAATACTGTTCTTATCCTCTGCCTTGTTTTTTTCCAGATAGTTTGCAGCAACACTTCTCATTTTTAAAATATCCTCAGTGTGCCACAGCATGCTGCTTTTCACCCACCCTCTTGTTTGGACAGAGGGAAAGCAAGCAGAGGTTGGAAGTGGTAGTGAGGTGGGCAGAGAGAACAGAAACCCATGGTGATCGTGGTGATAGTGGGTGCCTGGCAGCGGGCAGGAGAAACACAGGGGGGTTAGGTCAGAAACAGGAGAGAAATATGAAGCACAATAGAGGCCCAGTGCATGAAATTCTTGCACGGGTAGGGTCCCTAGGCTTGGCCAGCAATCAGGGCTTATCTGTGGGGCAACTGGTGGGGCAATCGGGGGCAGGGATGGGGCCCACTGGCACCCTCCTTGGCTGGCCTGGGACCTGCGGGCTGGGGGCAGCTCCTGCATTGAGTGTCTGCTCCTTGGTGGTCAGTGTGCATCATAGTGACTGGTTATTCCACCAGTCGTTCTGCTGTTTGGTTGATTTACATACTAGGCTTTTCTAAAATAATTAAAGTGTAAAATGCTAATTAGACAGATGAATGATCTTCCAGACATCATTCCAGACGTTCCTCCAGACAAAGCCACAGCAGTGGGGGCTGAGGCAGAGGCGGTTAGGGGTGATCAGGCAGGCAGGCAGGCAGAGTAGTTAGGGGCAATCAGGTAGGCAGGCAGGCGAGCGGTTAGAAGCCAGTGGTCCCAGATTGAGAGAGGAATGTCCGACTGCCGGTTTAGGGATGTCCTAAACCGGCAGTCGGATATCCCCCAAGGGGTCCTGGATTGTGAGAGGGTGCAGGCCGGGCTGAGGGACACTCCCCCCCCCCCCGCCCCCACCCTGTGCACAAATTTCATGCACTGGACCTCTAGTATTATATAGGATGGTAACCTCTCCTGCAGATTTTACATATAGTTTCCCAAGACCGGGATATTTCTATGAGTTATCTTGATTATATTTTACTATCCACATCTGGGGAGCTAAAGGAGATGGAGAATAGTAGAGAGAGCCTAACTAATCATCTAAACACCCATGAAACTTTAGCCTTTCCCTTAATTTTCCTTCCCTGGTATCCCTTTCACCATTCATTCTAGTCACTGTGGTCAAACCACAGCTGTGAATTGAGTGATAGAATCCTGGGTGAAACCTATATATAGCTGAGTAACTTACAAACAGTTTCACCTGACTTTTTTTTTTTTTTAGTTAGTATGTTGTCTGGCACTCAGAAGCCCTCTTCCTATCCTCCTAGTCTTGAGGCCTCTCCTAAGCTGACCCTGGTCATTCTCATGTCTTGATAGTCCTTCAACTCCCAGCCTATCCTGAACCACTTCTCTGAGCCCTCCAGATCTTTGGAAAGCAAGGCCCTTACCTCTCATGCCTAGATCTTTTCCCCATGAAGGTTCTCGCACATGTCCCCAGGAGATATATTCACTATGGCATCAATTGTGAGGAGGCACATATGGCATCATTATTATAGCTTACTAGAGGCCTAGTACACAACATTCGTGCACTTGAGGAGGGAGTGTCCCTCAGCCCCGCCTGCGCCCTCTCACAGCCTGGGAGCCCTCGGGGGAGGTCCAACTGATGGCCTAAGCCATCAGTCAGACATCCTTAGCGCTGCCGCAGAGGCAGGAGAGGCTCCCGCCATTGCCGCTGCATTCGCCAACTGTCAGCCTGGTTTGGAGCCCCTGCAGGGGGAGCGCACTAACCACCAGGGGGCAGCTCCTGCATTGAGCATCTGCCCCCTTGTGGTCAGTGTGCTTCATAGCAACTGGTCGTTCCACCATTCAGTCGATTTGCATATTACCCTTCTATAGGATAGTATGTTTTTCTCAATAGACGCTTATGTGTAATTGATTCATGTATCTAATATTTTCATCAGGCTTTGCTTGAAAAATAAGGGAAGATTAAACTAGATTTTACTCTATATTCTATTCAAAACTATTAGCCCTATGGAATGGTTAAAAATGTTTTGAAAAATAGAAATTTTATTGACTATTATTTTGCCTCTAAGAATTTAGAGCTGCAACCATATATATTTTTTTAAATCCCTTGCCCAGCCAGCGTGGCTCACTGGTTGAGTGTCAACCTCTGAGGCAGGAGGTCAGGGTTTAATTCCTGCTCAGGGCACATGCCCAGGTTGCAGACTCGATCCCCAGTAGCAGACATGCAGGAGGCAGCTGATCAGTGATTCTCTCTCATCATTGATGTTTCTATCTCTCTCGCCCTCTCCCTTCCTCTCTGAAATCAATTAAAAAAAAATTTTTTTTTAATGTTTTTAATCCTTGAAACAGAACACACCCAAAAAATCTCACAAACAAAAAAAAAATTTTCACAAAAAATAATATCTTGAAACCAGTGGTGACCATATTTTGAGATGAGATTAAAGAGTCAATAAAGTCTGTACTAAAATCATCATGGCAAATTTTTTTTTTATTTCAATTGATCAGCAGCCTAGCCAGGTTCTCTAGCCAGGTTCTAGCCAGGATCTCCAGCCAGGCTCTGTCATCATGGCAAATTTTTGAAATAAGCAAGATAATAAATACTACATTGTAGTGCACATGATTTCTTATTCATCTAAATTTATACAGAAACATTATTAGGCTTATATTACTATTTGCTACAATATAAATATAAAAACTTAAGCAAAATATTTATTATGTGAAAGAGTACAGTTTACAGATTTACCATCTGCTGGATGCATGGAAATGTTGAATATTTCTGGTGGGTATATGGAAGTTCAATGCAATAGTTTATTTTTCTATATGTTTGAAAATTTCATAATAAATATTTATTGAAAGCAAAGCATTACTTAAAATTGGTTTTAATCTTCTAAAACACAAATGAACTATAAAATTTTTATTATATAAATATTAAATTCCTACTGTAATTAAAAATCATGTTATATTAGGGGAGTAAGATGCTCAGTATTGCTAGTACATTAAATGTGTGCATGAGGGTGAGGAGGAAACTCTGAACAAAAAACAAAAACAAGAAATAAGATCTAGATAGTGAAAGTGAGAGACCACGGAGATCTAATTCAAGTCAAAGTTAAGTGATGTCAAGTCTGATTGAAACCTGTCCCAATGTGGCTGGAAGGAGTTGTGCACCGGTGCTCCTCACACTCACACAGGTGCTGTGGGGAGAGGCATTGACTCACGACAGCAAAGACTTTCCCTGGAGGAGAGCAGGATTTCCACATGAGCACAACTACACAATCAGATTTTTTTTTAATATATATTTTATTGATTTTACAGAGAAGAAGGGAGAGGGATAGAGAGTTAGAAACATCAATGAGAGAGAAACATCCATCAACTGCCTCCTACTGGGGATGTGCCCGCAACCAAAGTACATGCCCTTGACTGGAATTGAACCTGGGGCCCTTCAGTCCGCAGGCCGAGGCTTTATCCACTGAGCCAAACCGGTTAGGGCACCACAATCAGATTTTCATGTATTTATGTGGTAGGATTTTTTCCAGCCATTCATTCACTATTCAAAAGCTTATAAAGTAAACCTTGTCTTTTAATTTCTAAAAATAATTTTCATCTTTTGTATTAATCGGCTAGGGCTACCGGGCTGTGGGGCTTAGACAACAGAAATTGGTTTTCTCACAGTTCTGAGAGTCTGGAAGTCCGAGATCAGGTGCTGACAGGGTTGGTTTTGGGTGAGACCTCTCTCCATGACTTGCAGACGGGCCTTCTCACTGTGTCCTCACACAGACTTTCCTCTATGTGGGTGCTGTCCTGGCGCTTCTCCCCCTTCTTCTGAGGACACCTGTTCTGATTAAGCCCCCACCGTTTCCACCTCACGTAACCTTAATTACCTCCTAAAGGACCCTGTCTCCAAATACAGCCCCAGTGGGGATTAGGGTCTCAACATAAGAATTTGGGGAATGTAGTTTAGTTAGTGGATAACAGTTTTAAAACATCCCCACCCCCATTAAAAATTTATAACTGGATGTTTATCCCAGGAGTTTAGGGACAGCATTAAGAATAACAAGAAGATCCCCAGCCGGTTTGGCTCAGTGGACCCACCCAAGGGTCCTGGATTCAATTCCAGTTAAGGGTGTGTTTCTCTCACATCGGTATTTCTCTCAGTCTTTCCCTCTTCCACTCTTTCTAAAAATCAATGGAAAAATATCCTCAGGTGAGGATTTAAAAAAAAAAAAGAAGAAGAAGAATGACAAGAAGACAGACTATATTGGTACAATGAACAGTTTTGAACTTCAGAACAAACTCACCCAGCCACCCATAGCGGGCACTGCTCTCAGTGCGTGGGGGGGGAGCCTTGAAGAATGTTAGTATAAGTTTATGTGCTGGCATGTTAGTCCCTATTGATACGCGAATGGTGAGCTCGGACTCTCATTGTGGGTACTTGTCCTACGACGTTGGAAGAATAAAATTAATGGACTAAAATGTTTTAATGGGGAGGGGTCCCCAAATGGGGAAAACCTGCCCGCCCCCACTCTAAAATGGGAAAACCCAGTCTTCTGAGTCTCTTTGTCTGTGGGTTTATGAATGCTGGAAGCTCTTTGTTCATCCCATTTCCTAATTGGCCCCTTCCTTATTTTATGTCCCCTGTGCTTTCCGAATTGTCCACTGTCCTCCTTACTCCTACAAGGTATCAGTTCCAAAGTTTCAAAGCCCATCGTACCCCCCTCTTCTTCCCCTTCTCTTGTAACGTTCTTATAAACAATCTGGCGCCTCTCCATGGACCCCCCTTTCCTAAAACCGCCTTTCCTGTCTCGAAACTCCCTTCACTACCAGCTTTTCCTGATGTCTTCAAGTATTTTATATTAGGATTTTTCCTATAAAGGTTGCACATAACTTTTATATAATTTTGCTAAAGCTATACATTTTTACATGAAAAGTATAAAATAAGAATAAATTAAATATGGAGTATAAAAATCACCAAAGATAGTATAACTTTGAAAATGTTATGATTATATTAATTCATAATTTTGTTCCATTATATCCCATCTAAGACAGATATGAATTTAGTTTGCAGAATAAATATTTAATATTATCTTTCATTTTGGGATATGATTGAACTGATAGTAAAATATGGCCATGTGTTTTTATTTTTTAAAGCTCATTTATTTTAAGATGTAGCTTTAGGTGTTTAGGGAGGTACTTTTAGGGTCATACCATGAAGAAGAGTAAAAGCTCATTCATTTGTACCTTACCAAGGCATGGTGCTATATGGATGGTTTAATTTGTTTTGTGATGTGATAAAAGACAAACATTTTGCTAAGTAATTTAATTTTGTGAAAACCTCTTAAAAGGGAATGTTTGAAATTCTTAAAACAATTTCAAGAACATGAAATGAATTAAATTCTGTAATTATGACATTCGTATATACATCTACAGCTAAGTCATGAAGGACCTCCAGTTATAAGCTTACATTCTGGAATTCCTTGCACTGGGAAGTAATAAATTTATATTTTAATTAAAAATGATTTGTATTCCAGCCAAAGTGCTCCTCAGTAGATGAGTGCATAAAAAGCTGTGGTACATTTACATAATGGAATACTATGCAGCTGTAAAAAAAGAAGGACCTCTTACCCTTTGAGACAGTATGGGGGGACCTAGAGAGTATTATGCTAAGGAAATAAGCCAATCAGAGAAAGACAAGTATCACATGATCTCACTCATATATGTAAGCTAATGAACAAAATAAACTGACAAACAAAATAGATCCAGAGACTTGGAAGCATACAACAGACTGACAAATCTCAGAGGGAAGGGTGGTGGGGGAAGAGATTAACCAAAGAATTTATATGCACATATGCATAGCCCACAGATACAGACAATAGTGCTGTAAAGGCCTGGGGAGGGCCAGGAGCAGGTTAGAGGAGGTCAAGGGGAGGGGGGAGAGGACATCTGTGTACTTCCAGCAATAAAGATACATTTTTTTAAATGATCTGTATTCCATAGATTTTATTGTGCTGTTTCTACCAAGATTATCTAACATGGTCAGATTTATATATTAATGAATTTTTACTACTCTAAAATGTCTTTATCATTTGGGAAAATCATCATGTCCCATTCTAGAGAAACACATATTTCCTTTTCAGATTTTTTTTCATACATTGTATCAATGTGTAAGGTGTGTGTGTGTGTACACATATATACGGGAGGGGGGCAGAATTATTTTGTTAGCTTACACCAGGGATCCTCAAACTTTTTAAACGGGGTGCCAGTTCACTGTCCCTCAGACCGTTGGAGGGCCGGACTATAGTTTAAAAAAAAACTATGAACAAATTCCTATGCACACTGCACATATCTTATTTTGAAGTAAAAAAACAAAACGGGAACAAATACATTATTTGTATTTGCATGTGGCCCACGGGCCGTAGTTTAAGGACCCCTGGCTTACACTAATCTTCATGTTTGAATACAAATTACTTTTGGTACAAATACAAAAGTTGTTCATTTGCTAGAAACACAGCTCTTGCCAATTGCCTCTAGGAGTAATTTCTCTTTTAATGTGATTTATTTGGCACCAAGGGGTTTCAGGAGTGGCACTCTGCTCAGATTTTGATCAAATACGCAAACTGGAATTTCTAGGCACTCTTCTGACTCCTGTGTGAGGCAGTGGCAGTGTCATTAAAATGCCTCTTTTACCTTTTGAGATACAACTAAGATAATTTTCTTTCAATTCTAGGGGACTCATCAACAAAGAAAATATTCCTTCTGGGCTCAGCAACCTTGATGATTGTATTTTGAATGCTCAGGAAGTGGGAAATTTACATGAAAATACTTCTGGCTATATTGGAGAAAGGAGCAAACCTAAACGTCAGAAGTCCAGTTCCAAACTTTCTGATCTCAATGAAAATCAAGCTTATCTTGTGGTAAGTGAATAATTTTGTAAGATTTTTACTTGCGACCAATTAGGAAATATCACATCTCTTTTCCTTGCTTTGTAAAAAATGAATAATAATTTCAGTCTTGAGTTTTACAAAATTATAAATTATGAATTCTGAAAGAGACCTTAGAGCTACCTGCTATACACACTTGTATTTCATTTTTATAAATATAAAAGGCTGGGAAGGATTATATTCTGCCAAAGGAACCAGAGAGAGAACTAACTTGAGTTCCATATTATTCAAATTGATCTGACTTGTCATTCTTTTGAGCATTTTTAACTTTTATTTTTGGGACAGAATTGTCAGTAATTTGCATTTGTCCTTGTTTTCCATATTCTATTTGTTCTTATCTATATGAATATGTAAAAATCAAGTTTTAATGAATGAACTTAAAGCCAGGTGAAAGGAAAATACAAAGGGAAAGAGGATCAACTTTCTTCATGTTCAGAAATTTATTTTCAAATCTGTATTCTATCAAGTATTTTCTTCTAAATTAGTCAGAAAACCCCCCCCCAAAAAAAAAAAAATTAATCTCCCACACAGTTTCCTCAGACCTGAACCTTGGATCATTAATTTGATATATAAGGTGTTACAAGAGATTTCAGTCAATAACTAAAACATTATATGGTTTAGCAATGAATATATATCACCCTTTTTTGTGTATTCAGTTTCTCTGGAAAGTGAGAACCAAAAGTCTGTCTTCTAATTCTCTTTATTTAAAAAAAATTTTCAAAAAGATATAAAGGGGAGATAGATTGTATAGCATAGCATGAACTGGTGTTCCTAATAAAAACAGGTAATGTACATCCCCACTGTTCGTTGTGTAAATCCTCTCACTCTCCTTTATCTCTGCCCAGTTGTTAGCTCCATGCTGGGTCCATACATTTAGAAACACTTACGGGCCACCTGTTTTTTTCATTGTCAGTTTCTGCACGTGCTCACAGAAGATTCCAGATTTTGCCCTAAGTAAAATACACATGAATGCAAATCCAGGGAAAGCTTGTTTATTCTATTTTCCCCCCAAAATGTCTTGATACTCTGTTTCTAGAAATAAACTGATCAGCTGGAATGAACAGAGAGCAGACATTTACCTCAGACCTCATCTGCCACAGTTCTTCAGATAACAAGTATAAGCCCTGGAACCATTCATGACCCAGTAAATGTTATTGAGTATTGATTTAATTCATATTTGGGGAACAGTAAAGTTTTTTAAAAATCATACTAACTTCATTAGCTCTTTATTTGGCCCATGATTTGCTTATCTGCTGAAGAGAGTTACAGTGACTAAAAGTCTGACTCTTGGCTTCTTTGAAAAGAGTGTACTTCTCTGTTTGAATCCCTTTTCACTGAACTGAACCCATCAATAATCTTTTTTTCACTGAGGATAGTGTCTTAAATTATCTAGGTTGTAACAGCTAATAAAAGTGGAAAAATATACTTATTCCTTAGAATATGTATTTGATTGATAAAAACTATGGACACAGTCTTTGTTTAAAAACATTTGGATGGGAAAACCTAATTTCATGTTGGTCTTACTTATGTTCCCACCTTAGTTGCCAGTTTCCACATTCCAGAATTGTGCCTGTCACATGTTAAGTGAGCAAAGTGGACTGTGTCTTTGTTGTAATGAATAACTTAAAATCCTGCCCGTGCAACTTAGAAAAATTTTCCTCATCTATAAAGTGAGGGTATTCTCTAAGATCTTTCCTAACTCTCATATTCCATGAATTTTTAAGTCTCATCTTCACAGGTAACCACAAAACTAAGAGCCAGAGAACATAACAGTGACTAGTATTTAGACCACATCCTGAAAGTTAGGTTGTGCATCTTAACTTCCCACTATTTTTAATCTTCTAATTTTACTTTACCCAACCCTCCTTCACAGTCCTTTTCTACTCCATGTCAAGTTCTTTACACCCTGACTAAACATTTGTTTCCATAGATTGGGGGAAAGTATTGTGCGTAATTATATGCCTTCCATGAGCCAGGAAGTATCTTGGGGATACAACAGTGAGAAAAGCAGGCAAAACTTGCTGCCCTTATGGAGCCCAACCTTCAAATAGGGGAAACAGACAATAATCAAGAAAACAAGTAAAACATAGGCCATATTAGATAGTGATAACTACTGGAAAGAAAAATAAAGCAGGATATGGGGATAGGAATTGTGAGGGGACAAAGGGTGCCGTTTTAAATAGCTGGGTCAGAGAAGATATCCCAAGAATTTGACATTTGAGTAAAAAGACCTAGAGGAAGTGAGGACCAAGCCATAGAAGGACGTACTATAATGGCAGGTGGCAAAGGCCCCGAGGCAGTAATGCATCTGGAATGTTCAAGAAACCACAAAGACCATCATGGCTGAAAGAGAGCGAGCAAAGTGAGAGAGGTAAAGGGAGAGAGGGCAGACTAAGTAAGGCCTCAGAGATCATTGCAAGGCTTTGCCTTTACTCTGGGTGAGGTGAGAATCCACTGGAGGGCCTAGATGGAATGGTGGTCTGACTTACTGATATTTGGTGTGACTACTACCTTGGGAATAGACAGTAAGTGGGCAAAGACAGAGTAACCAAGGCAGGAAGCTATCGCAGTCATCAAGGTTTGAGATGAGTGTGGCTTCAGCGCAGGTGATACCAGAGCCGGCACATACCACCTTGCAGGCTGTACAGCGCACTACCCCAGGGAGCACTGTTCACATCAACTAACCCCTTGAATGGTCCCTCCTGCAGCACTGCATGCTGGAGTCAGGAAGTAGGAGATGGGTTTTGGATACATTTTGAAGGTAGAATTGACATTACCTGTTGGGTATGAAAGTAATAGAGGAGTCGAAGAGACTCCAATGTTTTGGGCCTGAACAGCTACAAGATTTGTGTTGCCAGTCTACTGAAATGGAGGAGACAGAAGTTCGGGGGGGTAGTCCGGGGTTCAATTTTGAACATATTAGGATTGAACTGTGCCCATCCGATATCTCAGAGGAGGGAGGCCAACTGGGTTTCTGGGCCTGGAGTTGAGGGAGGATATCCTGGCTGGAGATACAGTGTGGGAGTCATCAGCAGATAGAGGCTATTGAAAGCCAGTATCCTGAGTGAGCAACCAAGCGAGCAGTGTGGACAGAAAAGAAGAGTGGCCTCGGGGACTGAGCCTGCGGCGTACCAGCACTGAGAGGATGGGGAGATAAAAAGATACCAGTAGAAAAGACTTAAAAAGGAGCAACCAGCCAAGGAGAAGAAAAATGAGGTGAGTTTGTTGTCTAGGAAGCTAAGTGAAAAGAGGGTCAGATGATGGATCAAATAGAAGGCTGAATACGGCCATTATTAGAATTAGCAAACTGGAGGTCACTTAATAAGAGAGCAATTTTGGTGGAGAGATGGGAGCAAAAGCTATCTTCCACAGAAAATGAGAGGAGTGTAACTGAAGACTGTGAGTAATCATTTCACAGTGATCTCACAGCCCACGGCACAGCCAGAGAGGACAATATGCTGTAGACCTAAAAAAAAACAAAAACATCTTGCAGATTTGGAATCTCTGAAGTGGGAACAGTCCGGGCACTTTGACCTTTGTCCTTTCACCTTCCAAGGCTGTCATGGCCAGCAGGGACCAGAGACCACAGACATTTCAGAGCTCGGAAGTTAGTGGCCGTGGGTGACATTAGAGTGTTCTGCCTTATCTCTGTTGCCACAATCTCAACCTTTTCCTCTCCTTAACCCCTAGCTCATGCCTGTGCCCTTCAGTCTCTCTTGGAAACTTGTCTCCTGGTTTACTTTGAAGAGTTAAGGCAGCTGGCTGGTGTTTCAGCAAGTTTCCTCCCTCCTGCTGCAAAATTTCTCTACATCTTCACTCTTCTTATATTCTTACCTGGTCAAATGATAAAGTGGTTTTTCTAAATTCTAAAGACGTATCTTTAGAAATCCTATCTTCTACGTCCATCTCCGCAACCCACCCCCATGTACTAGTATGGTATACACACACCATTGCTTTCTTCTTTGGCTCATTTCTGTTGGCCTAGTAACAGTTTGAATCAAAAGCCATAACTCAGTCATGCATTTTATCCAATAATCCTACCTCTGCTGCTTTGTCTATCATGTAATAGCTATACAAGTGAACATGTTACTCAGTTACTTAGTTCCCTCATCTGTAAAATCGGGGATATTAATACTCTCGGTGTGTGTTTTTTTAAATGCAATGAAATATGCTAAACAAAACAAAACAGGAAAAACTGAAAACAGTACATATTTAAATTTCTTTCTTTTTCCCTTGCTCTGATCTCCAGTCTCATTCCTTCATTTTACCATCAGATATTTTGAACAGTCCATACTTGTTATTTTCAGTTCTTTTCACACTTGCTCATCAACCCCTGTCGTCAGGATTCTACTCGCTTCTCTGAAGAGACTGCTCTCTTGGACCAACCTGCAGTTGGAACTGACCTTGCAAGGCTTTTGTGCTGTGACGTATGCTTGACCCTTGGCCTCCCGACGGCCTGTGGTGCTTTTGATACTTAGTCCCTTTTTCTCAGAACTCTTTCTCCCTTGGCCTCTGTGATGGTGACCTTGCCTTGTCCTCTTACCACAATGACTGTTTTCTTCTTTGCTGCATCCTTCACAGGCTAATGTCCCACAAAGCAGAGCTGGTTGTAAATGTTACCCAGATTTCTGTCTCTTATCTCTTTTCTACCAGCATTTAATCTGAGAGCTTCTCCACTTCCATGGTGCCAAATGTCACCTCTTTACAAATGACTTCCAAATGAACATTTTTTCCCCAAAATGAATATTTTTTTCAAAAAAATACTGATTTTAGAGAGGGAGGAAGGGAAGCAGAAAGCGAGAAACACCAACGTGAGAGAGAGACAACGATCAGTTGCCTCCCGAACACACCCCAACCGAGGATCAAACCGCAACCTAGGCACGTGCCCTGACTGGGAATCTGACCCAGGACCTCGCTGCATGGGAGGACACTCCAACCAACTGAGCCACACCGGCCAGGGCCCAAATCAACAT